GAATGACAAATGAATTTGCTATTGAGACAAATTTTTGAATCATTTCAGATATAAAACTTGGAGTGTATTTACAGTGATCCCACTCTCATTGAGTTGAACTCAAAATTGTTTGCATCAAAAAGAAAGTGACTGTATAATTTGTGAGTTTGGTGTTTATCTAACTCTCATGCTTGCTAAGGCCAAGAGGCTACCTTGAACTGTTTTGAGTTGTAATATCACTCCACTTTGTGCCCTGCAGATCTCCAGTGAACTTTTGAAATCTTCTGTAAAGTAGAAGAAAATTAGTGCAGATGCTGGAAATAAATATAGAAAGTGCTGGAAACGCTCAGTGTCTTGGGGCAGAGAAAGAGTCTTAATGTTTGGATTTTTTTAAAATGCCAGAACGTGGATGGGAGTGTGTACTTTTTACAAACACTGAAATATAGCTCAAAGCAAAATACTGGATTTGCTGGAAATCAAAGAATAACAGGTCAGACAGCATCAGTAGAGAAGTTGACAGAAGCTCATAAACCTGAAATATTCTGTCCCTACAGATGCTACTGAGTGTTTCCAGCAATTTGTATTTGCATTACCAAACAGTGGGTGTTTAGGCAGTGAAACCCGTATACATACAGAAAGTCCTTGTGTGCAAACCACAGTCAATGATGTCTTGCACAATAGCTATGTGCTAATTACGGAATATATTCCACAGATATTCTTGAGACCAGTAGTTTTGTTTCATAGTAGCCCACCATTCCAGGAAAAACTAATTGAAGGTGTAGCACACACATCTGTGGATGCAAAAGCTGTTATTTGCATATAATAAGTTAAGTCAACTGTAAGTAGAGGGCATTTAAGATTTACCGACTGAGAAATGAATTTGATCTTAATGCCATGCACTGCATTTTTTACTTTGACAGTTTTTTAAGTTTACATTACATGATAGCAGCATCTGAACACTATCTGCCTGTTAATATATTGCTGAAACAAACTGTTGGCAACTAAGTGCAAAAATAATAGACCTATGAAGGAAAGGTGTCTGTGATCATGTTGCCACAATACATGATTTATTTTCAGTGATTTGAATGGGTGAAACTGCTTCATTTTCCACTCTTCATGACTCATAACAGACCAATATCACTGGAGGAGTACCTTTTCAGTTTGGAGGTTGAAAGAATTCAGTACACCGTAGCCAGGTTCAGACTTGGAACAAGATGTTATTGTGACCCACTTAACTTGCTCTTTTAAACCTTTTCAAGTCAGTTAATCGGGATGTCTTTACACTTGTGACAGTGAAAAGTAGGCCACAAACTGCAGCTTGCCTCCTCTGATCCAGTGACAATGATAAACCACATGGGTTTGAAAGCAGTCATGTATGAGGATACTAACTGCAACTCCATTTGCGAGTGCTGAATTGGTGATCATTAATCTCAGCGGGGGAACAGCTCTTAACTGTTGAACATCTTGTGTTAAGATTCTTAATTTTTTTTATTAAATATGCAACTTGTATAATAGTGTTAATTGGTACTATTTGAGTTGTGAGATCTTAATTCAGCATAATTAGTTTTGATTTGGAGCCTTCTAATCTACCACAAGTAGCACTGATTTGTTTGAATGCTTTCGTATATTGGCATAATTTCAGATTTTGTTTGTATAATTACGATTTCTTTATAAAAACTTGACTTACTTTTGGAAGCTTAGTAATCCTTGGCTGAGCCAGTTTCCTCTTTGTGACATAGGCAAGGAATAACCTTTCAATGCTTGAAGTGATTTACAATTTGTAAAAACTCACAAGTATGTGGATGGAAATTCCTAGAAAATCAGGATTAGCCTACACCTTGTTTATTAGCTTGCAGTCTGTCTTTGACTTAGAATTCTTTGATGTTTACATTTGAACATAGAACTTTGAGTCATTAAAATTTTGTTCAGTGTTTTCATTGCTTATCTTTTACCTACCCCATTTCATTATTGGCATTATTGGTAGAGGCATCCTATCACTTGCAAAAAGTGGACAAATGTAAGCGGACAGAGGAACCTATTGGTGGATGTTGGTGGTGGTGTTGGCGTGAAGGAGCAGTATATGATAGAGGATTATCCACTTGCCAACTTTGAGTTGATGGAAAGGGTGAGACATCACATCACAACTAGAGTAGTTTAAGAGGCATCTAGATTGATGTGAAGGGAGCTTTGATGGGAGTATACTTGTTGGTAACTCAACCTGTAAATGTATGTTTTACACCCTGTCAAGCTATGGAGTGATTCAAGACATTGAACCATGTCTCACCAAGTTTTCATGATGTATGACATGGGCAACAGTTACCATTTGCAACCCTGGGACTGGAGACCCTGAATCCAGAGGTTTATAGTCTGGAACTGTGAGATTATGTGGTTTTGTGATGAACAGACTACTGCTTGTACTGTTCCTAAGGACTAAAGGTAAAGTTGTCATGGTTTTACCAGACTGTAGCGCTGCTCGTTAGAGATCCAGCTGGTGGTGGTTTAACCTGAAGTCATCATGCCTCAGTTGAAGGGAGACATTGAGAAGGCGAATCATTCATGGTAACCTTACCTGGTCCAGAAATAGAATTCACACTATTGGCATCACTTTGAATTGCAAACCAGCCATCTAGTCAATTAAGCTAAATCCTGCCCCTGTTTTAAAAAAAAACAGAAGGCTTCATTCATAATTTCAATCTGTCATAATTGAATGGCTGAACAACACAACATTTTAACTTTAACCAAATAAAAACTGTGCTGGAAATCAGAACCCAAAACAGAAATTACCTGGACAGCTGAGCAGGTCTGGCAGCATCTGTGCAGAGAAAGCAGAGTTAACATTTCATGCCCAGTGAGCCGCCTTCACTGGATGTGAAACGTTAACTCTGCTTTCTCTCCATAGATGCTGCCAGACCTGTTGAGTTTTCCCAGCAATTTCCATTTTGCTTCAACATTTTGACATGTCTCATTTTCCATCTGAATCCATCCTGTGACACAAAACACTTCATGATGCTTCTCGAGATAGCAAGAACTGCTGATGCTGGAGTCGGAGATAACACCGTTTGGAGCTGGAGGAACACAGCAGGCCAGGCAGCATCAGAAGAACAGGAAAGCTGACGTTTCGGGTCGGGACCCTTCTTCAGAAATGGGGGAGGAGTAGGGGGCTCTGAAATAAATAGAGAGGGGGGTGGGATGGTGATAGTGAGTGCAGGTAGGCAATGGTGCGCGTTGGTCAGTGAGGTGGGAGGAGCAGATAGGTGGGAGAGAAGACTTCTATTTTTTTTTAATCTATATGCTGTCCCTTGGCAGCACCATCCAAAGATATGACTTTCAATATGTACAATGATCAGACCCAACCGTTACTTCACTACCATTTCTCTTGACTTCTACAGTATCCCCTTGTTGGGGCAGCACAGTGGATCAGTGGCTAGCACTGCCTCACAGCGCCAGGGACCCGGCTGCAATTCCAATCATGGGCGACGGTCTGTGTGGAGTTTGTACATTCTCCCAGCGTCTGCATGGGTTTCTTCCAGTGCTCTGGTTTCCTCCCACAGTCCAAAGATGTGCAGGCTATGTGGATTGGCCATGCTGAATTGCCCATAGTGTTCAGGGCAGTGTAAGTTAGGTGGATTAGCCATGGGAAATGTGGGGTTACAAGGCAAGGGTAGGGGATGGGGCTGGGTGGGATGCTGTTCAGAGGGGCAGTGTGAACTTGTTGGGCCAAATCTCTGTACTGTAGAGATACTATGGATTGCTTCTCTGACGTTTTAGTCCTGAATGAGATGAAATTTCTTTCAGTTAAAAGTTAGGGTACATTCTCCATTGCTATGTCATCATGGTTGCAGCCTCCACCAAACTAATCAGTTTGCAACAGCAGTTATAATGAGCTGAGACTTTCACCTATCTAATATCACTCATCACTCATCTCTGCCGTGAGTCCACCTGAAGTAGAATTTTCCAGACATGTGCATGTTCTGTCCAAACTCACCTACCCAATGTTCTCCATCTCTCTGAGTCTTTTATAGTCTGATACAAATTAACTCCTGTATGAACCTTGGATACAAGCTGTCCCAGTGTTTAGGTTGCACAAACTAGCCTTGACCCTGATTCAAACATGGCACCATTCTTAAAATGTTATTTTAAAGATTATTAAAATCTTATTTGCATCTTTCAGAAATCTGATCTCATTCTGCTGTCCCATTTTTGATTCACTGCTATAAAATGCTCATTTCACTAAAACTTGGCCAAGGGACAGATTCGCTGCAGTCGTTATACTTCGTCTCAACTTTTTCTAGGGAGCTGTAAATAAAGAGTTATTGCCCTAAGAACTAGAGCTGAATGTTATTTTAACAATTGGTGAGCCTCAAGTCTTTTTAAATTGGGATAAACTGTTTCATGAAGGCAGTTGCTTACATTATCATAACTGGAGTCGTATAATCTTCCAGGTAGCATTTGCTTGTCAGGACACCATCCTTTTCAGCCATAAAGTATCTTTAAATTCTCGGAAGTAAAAATACTCTGTAGTAAGCAGCCAGATAAATGTACCATGACTTAAGATCTTGGCAACATCACTGAGACAACAGATTCTAGTTGAAGTGGGACCTGGTAGAGACAGCCGCTGGTGAATGAGAAAAGGAGTTTAAAGCAATTGTAAAGAAAAATCACAATCATACTGGGGTATTGAGAAAATGAATCAAAGAAGTCCTTGAATTGCATTAAGTTCTTGGACTTGCAAGCAACGTTACTGATGCTGTCACATTGCTGAAAACCAAACTGGTGATTGATTTTTATCCCAAACTTTCAAAACAGTAACAATCATTTGGAATTATGACCCACAACTTGGATTAGACGTTTCCTTAAATATAGTTTCCAAATGGCTTGAAACCATTTTTCGAGTGTGTACAATATATACAAATATTAGTTTTAATCCTACCTTATTTGCCATACGTTTTGTCCAGACAAAATGTGGAACTAGCTATTTAATGGTGAAAAATTAAATTTTCCATCTCTTTCATTTTTAACAGGTACAATAAGCTGAGCCGAGAAGTTCGAGAATTGGCACGCAAGATCCGAGACCTTAATGAGAAAGACTCCTTCCGAGTCAAGTGCACTAGCCGACTATTGGAAAAACTGTGAGTGCTTCCAACTCAATTGAAATAAAGCAAAAAGATACTAATTTAAACAGAAAATTTAAATCATGAATATGTTTATTGTTTGAAAGTGAATTTTATGCACTTGAGTTTGCTAAAGTTGTCCTATACATTTTCCAGTTTCATGTCGAATGCTGAAGACTTAATATTTTTCTTCCCTCTTCCACTTTTCCTCCTCCTCCAGTATCCTCATGATACTGAGATCAATTCAACTATTCCATTTGAAATAAAGATACTCCTGATAGACGTAAGATCTTAGTCGAGGCACATGCGTCCCATAACATGTATCCCACTGAATAGTCAAATGAGCTCAATCATCTTGTTTTTGAGCAGTTTCATATTTTTTATTTGTAAATTATCATGGTTTCCATTCTCTTCATTAAGCAAGATAGTCTGAATGCAAACTTTAAATTTTTGATTTTAGACCGCAACTTGGTCTTGTGATTTCAAAGACCCAAAACTTGTAAAATAAAAAGTCAAGACAACTTGATTGATAATTGGACGTCATACCTCTCCAGAGAAATGAACTTGTAATCAAGAATAATGGTTCAATGCGTAACTTAAGAGAGTGCTTCATTCACCATCTGAAAGGAGTGTTAAACTGAAGTCTCATCTGGTCTATTTAGATGGATACTGTAAGAATAGCTGTAATAATACTGTAAAATGTAAGAGCTTAATTAGGTTATTCAGCCCAAAAACTCTCTTCCATTATTTGATCATGGTTGATATGTTTCCCAGCTCCATTCTCCTGCCTTCTCCCCATAAAGCTTTATCCCTTTACAAATCAAGAACCTATCCTTCTCTGTCTTAAATACACTCAATGCCTTGGCCTTCGCAGCCCTCTGTGGCATTGAGTTCCACAGATTAACCACGCCCGTTTGAAAAATCTCTCCTTATCTCAGTTCTAAAGGGTTGTCCCTTCACTCTGAGGCTGTGCCTTGGGTCCTCATCTCTCCTACTAGTGGAAACATGTTCTCCGCATCCACTCTACCCAGGCCTCTCAGTATTCTCTAAGTTTCAATGACATCCCCTCATCCTTCTAAACTCCATTGAATACAGATCCCCAGAGTCCTCAACCACTCCTTATATGACAAGCCTTTCATCCCCGGGATCATTCTTGTAAACTTCCTTTGGACCCCATCCAGAGCCAGCACATCCTGCCTTAGATATGGGGCCCAAAACTGCTCAGAATATTCCAAATGTGGTCTGATCAGAGCTTTTTCAGCCTCGACAGTACATCTCTGCTCTTGTATTCTAGCCCTCTTAACTTGAATGCTAACATTGCGTTTGCTTTCTTAACTGCCAACTGAACCTGCATGTTAACCTGAAGAGAATCCTGAAGTGGGACTCCCTTTAAGCTTCAGATTTTGGAAGCATTTCCCTGTTTAGAAAATAGTTTACACCTCTATTCCTCCTTTTGAAAGTGCATAACCTCACACTTTCCCACATTGTATTCCATCTGCCACTTCTTTTGTCGACTCTCCTGCCCTGTCCAAGTCCTCCTGCAGCCTCCACATTGCGTCTACACCACCTGTCCCTCCACTTATCTTTGTATCATCTGCAAACCTAGCAACAATGCCCTCAGTTCCTTCATCCACATGGTTAATATATAATGATAATAGTTGTCTCAGCGCTGACTCCTGCGGAACTCCACTAGTCACCGGCTACCACCCTTTATCCCCACCCTCTGCCTTCTGCCAATCCGCCTATCCTCTATCCATGCCAGTACCTTTCCCCGAACACCATGGGCTCTTATCTTGTTTAGCAGATGCCTGTGCAGCACTCTGTCAAAAGCCTTCTGGAAAAATGTGTGCAATTCTGGTCTCCCTACTTTAGGAAGGATGTTGTGAAACTTGAAAGGGTTCAGAAAAGATTTACAAGGATGTTACCGGGGTTGGAGGGTTTGAAATATAGGGAGAGGCTGAATAGGCTGGGGCCATTTTCCCTGGAGCATTTGAGGCTGAGGGGTGACCTTTTATAGAGGGTTATAAAATGAGGGGCAAGGATAGAGTAAATAGACAAAGTCTTTTCCCTGGGCTGTGGGAGTAAAAAACTAGAGGGCATAGGTTGAAAGTGAGAAGGGAAAGATTTAAAAGGGACCTAAGGGGCAACCTTTTTACTCAGAGGGTGGTGTGTGTATGGAATGAGCTGTCCAAGGAAGTGGTGGAAGCTGGTACAATGACCACATTTAGAAGGCATCTGGATGGGTATATGAATAGGAAGGGTTTAGAAAGAAATGGGCCAAATGCTGGCAAATGGGACTAGATTTATCTAGTATATCTGGTCGGAATGGATGAGTTGGACTGAAGGGACTGTTTCCATACTGTACATCTGTGACTCCATGAGTCTATAACTGGTTCTCCTTTGTCAAACCTGCTCATTATTTTCTCAAAAAATTCTGACAGACTTGTCAAATTTGACCACCCCTTTAGGGTCAGCCCTATTTTAGCATGCAACTCCAAGTACTCTGCAATCTCATTCTTAATAATGTATTCTAAAATCTTACCAATGATGAGTTCAGGCTAACTGGCCTGTCTTCTGCCTCCCTCCCTTCTTAAACAGGGCTGTTACATTAGCCACTTTTCAGTCCTCTGGGACCCTCCCTGAATCCGGTGATTCCTGAAAGATCACGATCAATGCCTGTACGTGCCCTTCGGCTAAGTCCTTCCTAACTCTGCGGTGTAGTCCATCTGGTCTGGGTGATTTATTCACCTTTAGACTTTTCAGCTTCCCCCGCACTTTCTCCTTTGTGATGGCCACTACACTCACCTCTGCCCTTGACTCTCTTGAAGTTCTCGTATTCTGCTGGTGTCTTCCACTGTGAAAACTGATGTAAAATACCTATTCAGTTTTTTTCTTTGTTGCTCATTGCTATTTCTCCAGCCTCACTTTCCAGTGGTTCAAACTGCACTCTTGCCTCTCTTTTACCTTTTTATATATCTTAAAAACCTTTTGCAATCTTCTTTTATGTTACTAGCTCGATTACCCTCATTTTTCATCTTCTCCCCTCTTATTACTTTTTTAGTTACCCTGTGCTAGTTTTTAAGGCTTCACAATTCTATAGCTTCCTATTAATCTTCACATTGTATGCTTTGTCTTTTGCTTTCATGCCGTCCCTGACCTCCCTTGTCAGCCATGGTTGTTTTACCCCCCCCTTAGTATGTTTCTTCTTCCTTGGATGAATTTATGCTGTGCCTTCCGAATTACTGCCAGAAACTTCTACCATTGCTGTTCCTCTGTCTTTCCTGCTAGGGTCCCTTTCCAATCAACTGTAGTGAGCTCCTCCCTCATGGCTTTGTAGTTACCTTTATTCAGTTGTAATTCTGTTACATCTGATTTCAGCTTCTCCCTGTCAAACTGTGGGGTGAATTCTATCATATTATGGTCACTCGGGGTTCCTTCACCTTAAGCTCCCTAATCAAGACTGCCTCATTACAGATCACTAAACCCAGAATTGCCTGTTCCCTAATGGGCTCTATCTCATTAGCTCCAAAAAAAGTCTCGTAGACATTCTACAAATTCCTTTTCTTGAGATCTGGTAACAACCTGATTTTTCCCATTTTGGCATCCCTCATTATTATTGTAATAATGCTTTTCTTACATGCCTTCTCTATCGCCTGATTTATTTTCTTCCCCACATCCTGACTACTGCGAGGAGGCTTGTACTTAACTCCCATTAGGGTCTTCTTTCCTTTGCTGTTCCACAACTCTACCCATGTAGATTCTATGCCTTCTGACTTGATATCAATTCTTGCTATTGATTTAATTTCATTTCTTACTAACAAGGCGAGCCTGCCCCCTCTAACCATCTGCCTTTCCTTGCAATTGGATATTTAGTTCCTGGCCCTGAGCCCTTTGTAGTCACATTTCTGCAAACTGGACCCCACCCCGCCTTTAACTTTCTCCATAATTTTCCATGCAACTGAACCCACCCTCCACTATTTAATGGGTGAATAACGATTCTTCAACTATTTTGCATGGAATGAAAACCTTTTAGTGACCTCAATATGGTGTTATCACTAAATCTAAACAAAGTAGCACTTCTTTTATACTGCTTGCCTTGAAACTTCTTCATTTCTGACTGAATTAAGATAATGTTTCAGCCAATCTGTTCCGCATACTATTGACATAGTTAAAGATATCCATGATGAATACATTTCTCACAGGAATAAAACTGTTTCCATTATAATTTGTTTGGATTCATCATTATCTTCACCCTTTTCCTTTGAATTCTATCATGTATCATTTTGAGGATTCTACTCCTTTGCTTTATGATCTTCATTGCTGAATGAAACTTCAGGTCACATGTGGGGCTCCTGTTAACTCTTTCATGTGCATTCTGTGGCTTTGTTTGCCTATTATTGTTTATCTTGTATGATTTTATGCTGCAACAGATCTGCCAAGGATGCTTTCATCCTCATTCTGCCTGTGTTGAATCTTTCCATTGCATTATGTTTTCTTCCAGTATATGGACCACTTTAAAATCTGATAATCGTTGAATCCTCTGATTCCTTGTATAACCACAGAATGTCCCAATTTCTTCCACGATGGCTGAAGGAAATGACAGGTTCTCCAATTGCTTTTTGAGGCAGCAGGCAATCTGATCTAACAATACCCCCACCCCAAGAACTGGAACCAGAAATCTGTCCATGTGAAACACCTTGGAACAATCCAGTAATTTCAAGGCTAGCACTGATCCAGGGATCCTTAGATTGTACAAAAAGATTGACAGTGCTCCGCAGGTACTTAAAAGATTTTTCTTATATAGGTTTCACCCAAGAGCTCAATCAGAAAGTCCAAACTTTCTTCACTGTTCAACTAACTAACTGGCATCCATTTCTCAAAATGTTTTGCTTCTGATTTACTTTCCTGTATGAAACAACATGGACAGTGTGACAATTTGTTTATTCTTTGATTAGACATGTAACCCTATGACTACATAATCACTTTTTTAAGATCTCCAGGTTATATGGTTGAGGGTC